AAAAAAAAAAAAACAGGGAATGAAATTATTATTAAATGGTGTTTGCTGGTCGAAATAATGGGAGGGCTTTTACAAAAATCTACCCATTGCACAGTAAAAAAGAGGTGAAAAAACCCTGTTTTGAGCAATGTTGGATGAAATTGAGGGGGAAAGGTTTCCCTGGAGTGCAGGGGACTCGCTGCCCTCCCACACCCAGAGCCTGGGATGGCTCCAGCACCCCAGGAAGAGCTGAGCAGAGCTGGGGAAAACACTGAGCATCATTTTGAGCCAACTGGGAATTTCCAGTCTCTCACATGGAGTCAAAACCTCCTGGAATGTTCCTGCCCCTCCTCAGTAAAACCCTGAGATTCCATGGGATTTAACAGCTATGACACTTCCCCCAGAGAAACAGCAATATTGTCTTGCCCCTTTAAAAACTCTGAATTAATGAGCAGTAGTGCAAAACCCAGCCCATGAAACAAACAAACAAACAAAACCCTAAAACATCCCAAACCCACTCCCCAGAACCCAGAAAATCCAAGTAAACAACCAGAAATGTAACTGGGATGAGTGTGGTTGTTTCCCAGCTAAAACCCACAAGTTTGTGGGAGTTTCTCTGACCTTGACCCAACCAGAAACCCTGGATAAATATGGGATCAGATTTATGGGGATGTGCATATGTAAAGTCCAATCCTTTGTCAATGAAGTATTAATTTTATTGACCCAGCAGACAGTGAGGTTTTTATTATATAAATATAGAGATGTAGGCACTTCAAATGGGAGTATTTGCCACGGGCCTGGTGACAAGGAGGATTCCAAGGGATGGGAGATCCATGGGAACCCCTCTGGAACCTTCCCTGTGGGTCAGGGTGAATCTGAGCCTGTTCTTTATCCACCTGAGGAACTGAAACCAAATTTTCTTCTCTCTCGCAGTTACCCCACTCCAGTTTGGCTTCCTGGAGAAAGCTGCCTGCTCCAGCTGGAGCAATCAAGGGATTACAGGAAACCACACGTTAAATAAAATGTTCTTTTAATGATCACCCCCCAAATACCCAAAGGCACCAGTCAACACCGTGGACTAATGACCTACAAATTGGTGGGATTCTTACACATTTGTAGCATTACAATATTTTTTTCCACAGCTTCAGATGGCACATTAAGAGGAATATTTCATCTGCAACAGCTTTGTCCTGAACGCCCTTCCATGTGATTATTTAATAGAAAAAGGATCAAACCAAAACTGAGCTCGCTGCCCTCCTTTCTCCAGGTATTTCTGCAGCTCATCCTGAATCCACACCTGTATAATTCTAAATGTATTCCAAATTTATCACTGTAACTCCTCTAACACCACCCAAATCTCCTCACAGATCCTCAGGCTCCAGGTAACACACGGAGAGGCAACACCTCCACTGAGGACAATTTGCATTTCTTTTATCCATTGCAAAAACCTCTGCAACGTGTGGAGTGTAAAGCTCACAAAATACATTTGAAAGGAACTACCATAAAGAATTTGCTTCAAATGGACCTTTTACAACAAAACACAAAATTCAAAAGACGTTTTTTTAGGAAAGCACTTGAAACTGTAACACTTAGGTCCTGACAACATTAGATTACTTTAAGCTGTAAACCCTAAGAAGTTTTGTGATTAAATAAAATCAGCATTACAATTTCCAGGCATTATAATCATTGAACAGATTGTAGCAACAAGATATAATTATAATGCAAACATGAAGCTCAGGAGACTGGCACTGAGAAAACTCTCAATTCTTTGTAGATTTAGATCTGCACATGATAAAATCAGTAACAACTGGAGAAGAGGTTCCAATATTTCATCCTACACACTGATATCAGTGTTTTGCAAGCAGCAGTCAATACATCATCCCCTTTTCAATATTACTTTACAGAGTCATTATGACCTTGAACAACAAAAACCCCTCCAGGTCAATTACTGCTGCCAGGTATCAATAGAACATCTGGAAGGAAATAATTAAAACCATCAGGTTTTGTTAATTGCCCCTGTAGGTGTAGATACACGAGATTTTATATATGTAAGGCTAAATAAATTACATATATCTATGCTTACATATACAAAATCACAACCTCAACCTTCAGAACTGAACTACCTCTAGGTAAGAAATATAAGACCTTTTTTCATAAATTTAAAGGGTTTATTTATACCTGAGAGATTTTTGCATATTGATGTCTTTGTACCTTTGCCTGTAGGTGCTCCCCTAACTCTCTGCTCTTTCCTGGGGTACAAAGCCCATTGCAGCCAGGTGGATTCTTCCCACCAGCTCCATGGACTTCTGCTGAGCCCTTCCTTACCTAACCTGGATCAACAGAGAGGTGACAGAGTTCAATACATATTTAAATAAAGTTCTGCACAAGTGCACAGGCTGGTTTATACAAATCCACAGCGAGTTCACCGCTCCTGATACTTCCACAACATTTGATTTTACAAGTATTTTACTTCTCTACCCAATGCATGTTTCTACTTGTTGGTTAGAGAACACAAAGAATTTTTCTGGGCATTGGATCACTGGCCATGCAAGACACGCTGAAAATTCTCCTTCCTGCCTGACCTGTTCCCTGGTTCTTGGGAAGATCAACCCATTCTTCCACGCAGCAACCATGGAAACCAGGAGTGCAGGGGTAATAAATCAATCTGGCAACACTACATTAAGGTCACAGGTCAGTGCAGATGGACTGAGACTTTCCAACAAATCTAAAGAGATTAGGAGCCCCATTCCTCCTGAAATTTAAGGCATTTGGATGCCTGATTCCCACAGATTCCCCAGTCCAGCTCTCAGCTCCTCATCCCTGCAGATCCCAGGCAGTTGCAGGGACATGACCCATGTAAGGCTCTTACAGAATTTCACAGTGCTATTTAACATGGCAAACATCAAATTAAATGGAAAAGTTCCCTTCATCATCCTGACAGTTCAATTAAAACAGAAATAAAAGGAATCCACCGTGTCTCACTCCATTTTGCTCCTGACAGGGGGAATTCCCTAGAAGTGCTTTCATGCAAATATGGTGTTACCATAGCTGATCACAGAGCAATTAGAATTGATGGTTTTATTAAATATAGTTTAACCAATGGAAAGATCTTAGTGGAAGTGGAATAAAGTGTGCTTTCAGACACCAAATTTGGCATACCTGAAAAATCAGCAAAAGTAACAGTACTCTATTCATGAAAGACATCACAAAATGAATCAGCTTCATCAGCAAACACTTACGTTGGAGAAATACCAATTTTTTTCACTGTAATTTACAGAAAAAAATTGATTTTAGTGATGATGGTCTTTGAATAATTCTTTGTTCAAACGTACAGGAATATAATGGGGAAAAGGGAAGCTACATTTCACTGGCAATTGGACTTCATAGATCTTAGAAAATTTAGAAATGTTTGATTTAAAACAGCACATTTATGGACCACATTTCTCCGTAAAATAAATCAAACTCTTGTGCCCAAGTAGAAGAAATTCCCAACGCCTTGCACCTGTTGTAAATGGATGCAATGCAGCCACTGCTCTGGAGCAGGAGGAGATGAGAATGAACAGTGACAGGGACAACACAGTGACACACAAAGTCGATGTAAGAAACTCTACAGCTTGCATTTCCAGTTGGCTGTTCCCATTTTATACCCACACCCCTTCCAAACCTCCTTCTCCTGCTAGTCCTTCTTGTTCCATATTCCTTTTCCCACATTTGGTTTTGGTGACACCACCTTAGATCCATTTGTCCCAAACCTGCTCATCCTGGAGCAAATCCTCCACCCATCGCTGCTACAAACGCTCCGCTACCCCAGGGTGAATTTCTCTTTCCATGTTTCCCTTTCCATATTTCAGGAGCTCTCTAGCACCATTTCCAACATTTCATGGAGCAACTGGCACAGGGAGGCACTTATGTGACATGTTTAAAACTTATCTTTGGTAAACACTCACACACACACAAATGTGTAAATCATGTTTTGCTTTCTGATTGTAAATCCTCTTTTGCTACTGGTGGATGTGCGCAGGTGTCTAAACACAGACAGGACTTTACCAGTATAAAATAGTTTTTCAAATGCCACTGCCAAGGATTTAATTCACCTAAAAATAGCACAGTCCTGGGCTTTTGGAATTTTTTCCTGACTCTGTTTGTTGTGCATTAAAGCAGCTCTGATCAATAACAAATTAACAATAGAAAGTGAGCCCGTTCTGCTCAATTTTCACCTCCTTTCCCATTCTCTTGCCTTGGTTTTCAAGACCAATTTAATCAGAATAGTTGTACCTCTTGCAGCTTTTGTTATCTGCGAGGCAGATACTGGGCTCTGACGCTGCCTGACTTGAGCAGCCAAATCTTTCACTGGGATCAGTGGAAATTTTGGATACACAAAATGCCGAGTCTGCTCTTGGTAGGGGCATTTCCTGCTCACCAGTACAAACCAGTACTCTGGGGAGGGGAGTGACCCCGAGTCTCTGACTGATCTGAGGAACAACCAGCAGAGCTCACACCACCAAGAGATGACCCATCAATGTGTATTTTCAAAGGTGCTGCGAATAAATGTTGCTGGAACTTCATGGATAAAACCAAGGGATGATTGACTTTGATGTACTCAGAGCACTGTCCCTTCTAACATCAGGCATTTCTACAGAGAGGTATTTCATTGGCTTCAGTTTTCATTGACATCACTTAAATTTTGCTTAAGAAGTTGTTTTGTTTTTTTTTTAAGAACCCAGAACTTAGTGCATTTCATTTTTATAAAATTAGAATAATTTATATCCTTCTCTTTTCATTGCAAAAAAAACACAGCCCAAACACATGTCAAGGTATAAACACTTCACGAATGACAGATGCTTCACTTATTTCACCTGCTTAATGGTGAGTTAGACATTGATCAACCAAACAACTTTGGCAACTTGCACAAAAATATGTCCTTAACTCAAAAGTGCTGATAAAACTTGCTTTAATGAGGCCTTTATTAAGGAGAGAACTGGAAAGAGAGGAGTGGCGAGTGCTTGGAGGTCGGAGCGTTCCTACACCATCCCGCTCTGTATCTGTATGTGGAAAGGGTACGGCTGGTAGAACACAGGGGGTTGTCCATGAGCAATGTAGTAGTTGCTGAAGTTTCTGTCACTGATATAGGGAGCAGGCTGATAGTAGCACGTGACATTGGCTGCGTTGGGGATGATGTTTTGTTCTCCGAGCACTTTTAAAGCCAGAATTGTGATCATATTGAGGGTTTGCCTTCGCTCGTGCCCCATGAGGCAGACTGTGCTCTTGTTCACCACCCCACGCAGGGTCATCAAGTAGTCGTACTTGCTCTTCTCCTCCCCGATGAAGTGGTTGCGCAGGTAGGACTCGATTTTCCTCTGCTGCTCGGCAACGTCGGGAAAATCAATGAAGAACCTGGAGCACATGTAGCGTTCCAGAGATTTAATTTCAGCCTCATCCGCCGGCTTAAAGTCACGGACCAGGAGGTTGCTGTACTTCAGGAGGCCACCTCCCCTGATCTCCTCCGGGTTCCGGGTGGAGATCAGTTTGTATTTCAGGTGGTCCATGGCTTGGTTGAAGTCCCCGTACATGCTCTCGGCGATGATGGCGGGGTGGCAGTCCTGCGTCAGGGGCCGGTCTGAGGCTCTGTAGACGGCCAGGATGGAGTCCAGGATGATCTGGAAGGAGTCCACGCTGAACTCGAACTGCCGCCGGAGCGAGCTGACAAACTTCAGCTCCACGTTCTTGCCGCTGTTGTTGGACAGTGAGATGAGGCTCCAGCGGTCATGGTCGGTGGAGACCTTGACCATCTTCTGCACGTACGCATCTTTCATGGTCTGAGCCGTGATTTTTTGCTTGTTAACACATTTTGGCAAGAAGTCCAATAGGCAATTGAGAACTGCTTCCTTAACAACCTGGAACTCGAGCTCACTGGGAAGTTCCACTCCAAAAATGATGTCCAGGTCCTTGTAACTGGTGCCATTGTGCTTCACCAGGATGTGACTGGCAGTGGAACCATTCAGGCGGATGTCCCTGACATGGATCTGCTTCTCAATGAGCTGCTCCTTTACCATATGGATTATATCCTTCGGCTTTACCTCCAGGGTAGGAAAATTTCCTCTCCCATGAATAGGTATAGCCTCAGTTAAAACCTGATCCAGGATTTTAATCTGATCCCAGGTGAGATAACTGAATCTGTGGTCCAAGTCCTCAGTCATTGTGATATCAGCTGGCTAAATAGGGAGAAAGAAGAATTAGAGATGAATGTTAGAACTTCTGGAATACCAGAGAGGACATTTCACTTGGTTTCACCCAACTTCCTCCTTCAGTGTAGTGACAGAGCTGCTCACTTTAGACACAACCCCAGTTAACCATCTGAGTCAACCACTGCACTTGTTGCAGGCTTTTAATTGAATTTTAATGCACTCAGGTTTTAATCCTACTGAGAAGCCATCACATTATTGTATAACCCATGACTCAAAGTAAATGCAGCAAACCATATAGACCAAATTTAAAACTACTCAAAGGTTAATAACACGAAATACTTTGTGTTTCTAATGGAACTCCAAATAAATTTCACCATGAAGAGCTAAAATGAGCAAATTTGTTCTTTCTGTCCTGCCTAGACATCTCCCTTATCTTCAGTGACTTGAATACTTAAAAGTACTAAAAGACCAGGAAGTTTTCTGTGAAAACCAGAAGTGTTGCAACCTGGTCCCTGTTTATCCAGCCATATGCCTTGGATGAACTTTGGACTCTATGGATCATCTAATCACAAGCATCCTTTAATATCACTTGTGCTTTAAGGACTGGATATGTGATAATTACCAAGCTGTTTCCACAATATTTCTGAGGAAAATATTTCCCTTCTAAGCCACAGGCCATGGTTAGCATTAATATATCAGTGCTGCAAGTTGTGATTTGCAGATCTGGTGAGAAAGCCCATTCCAGTCTTGTGGGAAAAGAACCTCAAAAAAGCCTTTAAAGAAGCACCTACAGAATATATGGGATGAAGCTCAGCTTTGGGAATTTCTCAGTTTAAATTGATATCTTGACTTAACAGCATCAGGTTTAGCAAGGGGATGAGACACTCAGGTGGTGGCCAGGTGGGATCTGAATGGGCTCGGTGAGGCACCAGCCGGCTGGAAGAAGTGTCTTTGGGAATCTGCCAGCACCAAGAACCTGCTTCTGAAACACCCCTGAGTGTTTCTGCAGCCAGATGGCTCAAACATATTCTTTCAGCCAAACCTCAAGAATAAAAATAAAGTCAAATCATACTAAATAACAACACTATGTAAAAGTCCCCACTGTTGTTCCTTAACCAGCGGTGACTCCATGTATACATTGTCATACATTCCCCTTCCCTTGCCTTCAGATTCCACATTCTGGAATAGTTTAGTAATTTCAAGTAACTTGGGAGCTGCCAAATGGCTTGGGAATAGGGCAGAGCTCTATTTCACGTACTTCTGCTGGAATTTCAGCTCCCATTAAGATGATCAGCAGCGTATGTAATTCCAAGCACCTTCCTGGCCTCATGACAAAGAATGGCACTAACCAGTTGTTTGAAGCTGAAGGAATGTTATAAAAGTTGGCTAAAGCAAGACTGAAGCTGGGACTTTAACTGACAGTGTGAAGGTCTTGGAATCAGTCCCATATGTCTGGCACAACCACGTAGCTCCTGGCATCGTGTACATAGCGTATAATTCCACACCCATAACAGAGATGTTTTCAGGTGTATTCAGAAATGTCCACGTTTTTCCTGCAAGCATTTAGAGGAGGCATTTCATTCGGTCTGAAAAGGAGAGAAATTGCCCTCCACAGCACTGCCAATTTTACATGCTAATGATTTCACCTTTAAATATTCATTAGAATTCCATGCTTATTCCTTTAAAACTATAGCTATGCATTCTTCAGAGCCTTTATGACAACTCAGTGCAAGTCTATCCTAAAAACCAGAGAGAGCTACTGTTAATTCTGGAAGTGGGAAAACCTTGTGTGGAGGCAGGTTGGAAGGAGAGGGTTTTGTTCAAATGTTTCTGCTGCCCGAGTCATTCATAGAATCACGGAATTCAGGTTGGAAAAGGCTTCCAAGATCATCAAGTCCAGCTTTTTATATGTCATATTATAGTGGGCCAGCCCAAATGATTCCCTAGGAAACTTAAAATTGTAGGAATTGTTGTCTAAGCAGTAGTTTTTATTATGGCATTTGTTTGATATGCAAAACTTTGACCTTTCTAAAGCTGATGCTGTGAGGTTAAAAAAAAAAGGGGAGAAGAGAAGGGAATGTTGAAATTCAATCCCCATTTTATCAGAGGGACCCTCTTCAAACACTTGGGAAGTCAGAAGATGGACGTATCCCTACATAAGCTTAAAAATCCTTCCTTTATTGCTACATGTTTTTAGGTATTTCAGATGTTATTGCATTATATTGAAGTTTGAAACTGAAAAGAGAAGGTAAAGTCAGTAAATCTCTCTTTTGTGTTGAAGAGGCATCCCTCAAAATGTCATTTCTCTGAAGTGATTCCTGGAGAATCTGGGGAGGCTTTGGGAGCTCAGAGTCTCACCATTAATGTTTTATGATAAATATTAAAGAATTCTGTGCTGAAATAATACCTTCAACCCTGACAAGTGAGGAAAATGTACTAGGAAAAAAAACAGGAATTCAGTTTTCCAAAATATAATTAATTTGCAGGTAACTCTAAATAAACATTAGTAGTAGTAATATTTTTTATTATTACTAATTTGCTGCCAGTTTGCAACCCAATACTTTAACCCTGCACTCTTCTAGAAGGATTTTATCTTGTTCTTTTCTTCAATCTTGTCTGGCAACAAGAACAATTTCCAGGCACTTTTATAGTCATTAGGAACCTGATTTCTCAAAGCAAGGGCAAATTTATTTACTGAGGTGCTCAGGTTATTGCCAGGAGTTATTATTCATGTAGTTAACCTCAGTTACAACACATCAGCAGCAACATTGAGGTGGTAATTAGTCAATGTGTTGTGTAAAACAAGAGATTCTGGGATGAAGGGAAGGAAACTCCCTGCATGTGACCACAGCACTTGGATGAAGTCAAGCACAAGAGAGTACTGAACTGGTTAATTGGAAAAGGGGCTGGAAAATCACTTTATTCCTTGGAAACTGGTGCTGTTTGCAAGGGAGGATGATCAATTTACACAGGAAGAGAGTAAGAGGAATAGGGAATTCCCATTTACATGGGAATAGGACAGGGGAATGGTTTTAAAGTAAAAGAGGGGAGGTTTAGATTGAATTAGAGAGAAATTCCTCCCTGTGAGGGTGCTGAGGCCCTGGCACAGGTTCCAGAGAAGCTGTGGCTGCCCCTGGATCCCTGGAATTGGCCAAGGCCAGGCTGGATAGAGCTTGGAGCAGCCTGGGACAGTGGAACTGGAAGCAGATGATTTATAAGGTCCCTTCCAACCAAACCATCTTGGGATTCTGTGATCCCTGGATGCAGATCCATCTCACCTCACTGGCACCCCAAGCTCCAGCCACCCCTCAGCCTTCCCTGCTGCACCCTGCCAAAGAATTCCCTTTGTGAAACTCCTTCCACACAAACAGCCCAAAGCATCTCATGTGCTCCACATTCAGGGTTTTCTTGTCTTAAAGTCTGTGCAAACATCACTACCATGGCAATGAAATTCAAAAGAGGGCATTTTTCCCACACTTTGTCAATATTTTCATTTACTGAGATTCTCTCCTAGTGACTTTTCTGAAGTTTGTTTTTTGTTTATGGGATTTAAAATGTTACCATAAACTGCAAGAGACCCTGAATCCCATCTGATTTCAGATCTCTGCCACAAAAAAAAAAGGATGAGGAAAAGCAGCTTTTAGGGTGTTTTCTTTTACATAAACTGGATAGAGAAGCACAGAATAAGATGGATCAGACCCAGTCAAGTTTTGTGATATATCATCCTTATTATAAGGTTAGAAAAATATTTCCCTGACTCAACTTCCAACTTGTCCTTGAGTGGTCACCTTCCCCTGATAAAGCAGTCACAATGTGGAAAAATGTTTGGATACTGTTGGATCATTAAACATAATACTGTTAAATTTTATCATTTATTTTCCCATTGAAAATAGAGGCTCTAATTTTCTTTTTGGAGCAAGCAACTCTGAGTTTGGGCTTACAATGATGCTAGAATGTTTCATTAACCACCTCTTAGCACCTCACCGTGCATGAGCTTCATCAAAAAAATCCAAGCAGATCTGGCTTTACATCTGAATGAAGCAAATCTGCCATGCTAATGACAGCTTTCATGTTCCCCACAACTTTCATAGAAACAGATACTTGCAGTCTAGAGAACAGTCTCATCAAATTTAGCTCATATTTTACTGATAAACTGTTTAGATTCTCTTTTTATATATTCCATAATGTTGATTCAGTGTGTTTTCAAAGGGTTTGCCATGTGCTGGCATTTTCAGGCAGGATACAGATGAAATAGTTTTTGTGCAGCTGTGGCAGCTCCATCCTCTTCCCTTTGCTTCTATCTGCTCCCATGTTTTTCTGTTTACAATAAGGGTTGGGAATACTTAAATGCTTCAATTCTTTTACTTTGCACTTGAAATCGGCTGTGCAGGGACCTTTCACAGATCACAGAATTCCAGAATGAGTGGAAAAGCCCCCCAAGACCATCGAGTCCAATCAGTGCCTGATCCCCACCTTGTCCCCAGCCCAGAGCACTGAGTGCCACCTCCACTCCTTCCTTGGACACCTCCAAGGATGGGGACTTCAAACCTCCCTGGGCAGCCCCTTCCAAGGCCTGAGCACCCTTTCCATTAAGAAATTCCTGCTGCTGTTCAACCTGCACCTCCCCTGGCACGGCCTGGGGCTGTTTCCCCTCATCCTGTCCCTTGTTCCCTGGGAGAAGAGGTTAAAAAGTGATGTAGCAAAATGTCTTGGGAGCTGCTGTGATGGCCTTGTTTTGGGGGATCATTCCAAAAACACCCATAGAAACTCTGCCACTCATCTATGCACTGGCTTTCCTGCTTACATATTATATACATCACTACAAATGTCCATGATCTCCTGCTAAAGCTTTATTTTAATTCAAAGATCCATTTCTCTATTAAGCTGGAGATTTGGAAGTGTTTTGCTTACTTACTTCAGGACTGCAGCTGGCATAAGCTCCAAAGGCAGGAATGTCAAAGGTGGAGGGACTTCCAGTTGTAATTTAAACCCAGACGAGACAAGGAAGAGCA